CACTCTTTTTGAACACTACAACTCAAAGGCATCGATTCTTGTTCTGTCATCCTTAGTCTTTCCTCAGCTTCTATCATTCTTAGTCATCATCCAGATTACTTGCATAACAAGTAATTGAACACATAATGGCTTGAATCAGACAGCAGCATGCAAGCAGTCCTTCAATATAGCAACCTAACATAAATGTTGTACACTGAAAAACAAACCATAAAAATCAGTTACACATATGAATATCATGGTGTTGAGTGGCCCTCTGCGATTTTGGCTCTGGCCTAGGAAGTTGTTGGGTGGTATGTGTTGGTGGGGAGTAACTGTAAAGGATCTCTCCAAGTTGTTAAGGATCAGTGATAACATTTTAAAGACTAAAATATACCTGACTCAAGAAATGGTGTTTTCATTTACTTGCTCTGTTTCTGAAAGTTGGACAATGAGTAAAGATGACAGTAGAATTGAGTTCATAAAGTTGCTATGAAAAGAGCAGTTGGATTAAAAAAAACACACACACAAAAATACAACAAAAAAAAAGCAAAGGCTAAGGGAGCTCTGATGGCCTAGTGGCAAGAAGCTGCACTGCAATCCCAAAGGCATGTAGTTCAAATCCACCAGATGTTCCACTGGAGAAGGAGGGGCAGTCTCCTCCTGTGCCAATCCAATCCAACTTGATGGTACACACCACCACCAACAAAATGTTTATCTACAGTATCTGAGATCTGAGTCTCAGGGTAAAAAAGAGCAAGGTCTGGGGACGGCCATATCTAACCTTTACCAACTTCACAAAGGGGACGTGTCCCCATTAATAGCATCAGCAACACAAAACCCATTCCTATGAGGTCAGACGTGTCCCCCATACACTCATACCTCTTTCTGCTCATCTCAATACCAATCTTATTACTTGGCTTTGTCAAGATTTTGATGTGATAGCTCATAGACCACAAAGAAGTACATTGAGGAAATTAAAAGCTTATAATCCAGGTTAATAGCAGAATTTGTTCAGGACAGCTTTCGAAATGCTCTTTCATGCACCTCAGCCTTGAACCTTGCTGCTCAAGGTCAATGTAACAAAATTCTCAGTCCAACTAATTTTGGCCATCTCATGTCATGTCTCTCTGGTCCTCTGCTTCTGCTATGGCTGCTGCCGCCATAGGTATAGCTGGATCAAGAATGTGTGGTCCTTAAGGGGACCCTACATTCTCTTGCCTTTTCTTCTTTTCTTTGCTGGTGGGGAAGGTCTAATCTGCTTCTGGAATCACTCAATTTAATGGCAAGACTAGCCAATCCCTTTGTGGATTGATGAGACTAGCCAGTCCCCTTGTGGATAAGCCAGCATGCCCTGTTTGCATATTTCTGCCCCATACAAATGTCAGAAGCAAGTTCTGTGGCCAGGAAATCGATTTTGAATATTAAACTCCACAGTTTCTATGTGTTTTGCTACAATTAAAAACATATAACAGCAACAACAAAGTATTTGTTATTGGCATAGTTGCAACCAAGTGACTCCAGTTCATGTGCTGTCTTCATGAACTGTACTGTTATTCTCAAGTGCATTGTTGTAATCATTGGGTCAGTCTGTCTCACTGAAGGTCTCTTCCTCTCCTTCTCTGACTCTTTTACCTTTTCAACCAATCTCCTACCAAAGACTGGCCCCTCCTGATAATATGTCCTAAGTTTGTGAGTAAAAATCTCACTCTCCTTCTTCTGAGTAGCACCTTGACTACATTAAAGAAAAAAAAAATGTGTTTATTCTTATGCCAGTGCACGGTATAGTCAATACTCTTTCCCAGTATCACAGTTCAAAGGCATCACTTCTCAGCAGTCTTCTGTATTTATTATCAAAGTTTCACATTTATATGAAGTGATTGAAAATACAAAGACTTGGTACACCTTAGTCTTTAAACTGACCTCCTTGTGCTTTATAATCTTAAAGAGGTCTTTATTGACGAAGTCTGTTAGCTCTTTAAATAGCTCTGGTGGCTTAATCCTAAGGAATTGCAGTATCAAGACAAGGATTTGTGATTCAAATCTATCAGTTGTTCTCTGGGGAAAAGATGAGAATTCTCCTCCTGTGTGATTTATTGCACTTTAAAACCCACTGAAGGGTCAGTTATAAGTGTATTCTGACTCAATAGCACACAACAATAACAGAGTACAATTAATCAAGTTCAAATGTATAGCAATGAGTGAGTTTGAAATTCCCTAAAGAACCCAATGATACCCTGGTGGCCTTGTAAGTAATGAGTTGGACAGTTGATGCAAAAGCCACTTTAATAGTTGATTGGGAGAAAGAAAAACTGTCTCTTTGCGTGTCATTTCTAGCCTCAGAAACACCATGGAGGATCAGCTATGAGTTGATTCCAAGTGGATGGCAATGAGTTTTAGAAATTGGGGTTTTTGGGGGTGTTTATAATACTTAATAAAATGTGACTGTTCTGTAAAGAGCACTGTAAACTCCCTTTTGCCCCTTGCAGGATTGCTTGATCACTTGACTGTGCTTTTTCCCCTTCCCTCAAATAACAACAAAAAATATATTCTATCCATGGTTGAATGAATCCATGGATGCAGAACCCATAGATAGAAAGGGCTAACTGTATGGTTGTGTGAATATATAGGTATTACTTTGAGATATTTAGAAAACGTCTAAAAATTTGAAACATACTTAATAAAATAGACTTTTCTTTTCCTTCTTTAAATAGGTTATTGAGTGTGGCATGCTGTAATCTGGACACCCTTCTCCTCTTAGAGGCTCAGTATCAAATATCTGAAATGTTACTAAGTGCTCAAGGAGAAAACATCTTAGACACTTCTGAGAACAGCAGGTAAAAAAAAAAAGGATACTTAAAAGACAATAAAAAGCAGTTTTCCCGAATGCTTTTCTAAGAAGTGATTTTTTAATATAATTTTATAAATGCTTTTCTGGTATATGAATTTATTAGATTTAAATAGCAAGAGTAAAGAGACATTAAAAAACAAAAGTAATAGACAATGATAGATGATTTTAAAGAGAGTTTGAGTAGTCTGGAGCAGGCCTACTTGTCATTATTATTTAGTTTAGATTTTTTTTTTCTCCCAATTAAACCTGCCTTTGCTTATGATTACATGAAATTGTGTCATAGTTTAATATATACAATGACCCATTTAACAGAATGTTTGATTTTATGTCCCTTTAAAGGCACTCTCTATTTTGTTATCTTAATTATGTTAGTGCATAGTTATAAATTTTGTTTATTTGCCAAATGATGTTATGGTACTACTCTTAATAATTTTTTTGTATTAATAAATCACAACTGCCATTACCTCAATTTGGCTGACATTTATTGAGTACTTACTCGATAATTGGCAACTCCTTTAGTGTATGAAATTGAGGGTTGGGAAATGGAAAAGTATGCCACTATCCTGGCCAGTGCTTGAAAACTTGAAAGGCTAGGCTTTCACTTCCTGGGTACTCTAGCGTGATATCATGTAGAAGGAATGTATTAACTAGCCACTACAAGAAGTAATAGAGGATGTTGACAATGGTGTTCTGATTGATAATTTATATTACTGGGACTTAAGAAACCCTGCCTTATTTTTAAAACTTATATTTATAACTTATTTGTGAAAGTCATGGTAGTGACAGTGTGTCCTGATGATGTAGTTTGATAAACATTGAGTTACTAACCAAAACGTCATTGGTTTAAACACACCAGTCTTCTGCAGGAAAGGATCAGACAATCTGCTATTCTAACAGTTATAACCTCTGAACACACTCAGGGACGATTGATTCTACTCTATCCTGTATGGGTGCACTAAGTCAGAATTAATTAGCTATGAATGGGTTTAGATTTTGTTTTTTATTAGAAATAATGCATGTCTTACCTCTATTTCTTCTTTAAATGCAATAATATTTGTTAATAAACTTAATGATATATGTTGTTTACATTTAGCAAAGAAGACTATAAGATCAAAAGTGAATTTATCTCTTTGGGTACATAAAGATTAAAGACCCCTTTTTTAAAAGGTAAAAGTTAATAAGATAGATTTTATTTGAAAGAGCACTGTTCATACATAGAGTTTCCGGAGACAAGCCATTTCGGAAGTGGATGCTGCTCCTGCATCCAGGCTTGTTTTAGTCGAGAAGCTCCACCAAACACCGTCCACATGAGTTTATGTTTGGCACATCAGTGTCACAGTGTTCAGCATCACAGCACCACAAGTTACCTCTGTACAGCAATGCACAGACCAGTGCTATACCACCTAGAAGAATGTTTGACAGGAAACCAATTCGAACCTGGCCTGAGAGCCGCAGATTAAAATCACCCACCTTCAGCTTGGTAGCATAATGTTTTGTCCACTAGACCAACGTAGCTTGCTCTGTGTCATTGTTGTTTGTGTTGTTAGGTGCCATCGAGTCATAGAGGACTCATAGCGACCCTATTAAAGAAAGGCCTGAGCACTGTTCATACATAGAGTTTCCAGAGTTGCGTTATAAGATTTATATACATTGTGTTTCATTCATGTACATTTTGTTCCATACAATCATTCATATACATTGTGTTTTATAAAATTAATCACCATTTATCTATGCCTGCTATTACCCCATCTTTTCAGGTCTCCATTGGATCTTTCTTAATCCCTTTATCCCCTCCCTTAAGCTCTGTTATCCTAGTGATTTCCCTTCCTACACACAATCTACTCGCCTATCCTCTCTCCTTCCTCTTTTGGACCTTTACATACATCTTACTAGTTACCCTTCTATTTTCACATAAATGGTCTTACCTAGTCTTTGTCCTTATGAGACTGAGTTAGTTCACTCAGTATAATGCTCTATAATCTCTCCTGTGTTATATAATACTTTACAAGATCACTGCCCCGTAGTGTTGCATACTATCCCATTGATAATAATTTGTTTTAAGCTTCTGTAGGTATTTTTTTTTGCCTTATGTCCTTTACAATCTACTTGCTTAATTATAAAAATGCATTCTATTTAATGCAGCAATAATAAAATTAATGCATTTCTCTTTCAGAGACTTCATTATTGATGGATTGTCAGTAGAAAGGAATCATGTTCTTGTTAGGATAAATCTTACTGGTGGTCCATTAGAACGAATTTTGCCTCCAAGGGTATTGGATAAGGTGAGTGTGATGGAGATCAGAGGGAATAGTATTCTGAAGCAAGGTAGTCAACTCAGTTGACATTAAACAGCATTGACTCTCAAATATCTGTGTCATAAGGTTGAATTTTTACTACTTGAAAATTTTAGGATTCAAATGAGCCCTGTCAAAGTAAAATATTGTTGATATTTGGGGTCAAGAATACTACTCTGTGTAATAGAATAGGGTATTTTACTTTGAAAAGTTGTCTTAGTGTACTTTATTTTTTAACTTTCATTATCTTTCTCTTTTATGATATTTTATTACATAATCATATTACTTGTTTATTTCTTTGACAATATTGAGTACTTTTCTTTCTATTAGTATCCATAGATTTTGGTGGTTTCCTGAAAAAATGTGTTTGTTTTCATTCATTCTTGCTTGTCACTTTGAGAGGGGTGAATTAGAAATGATTGACAGCACAAGAGACACATTTTGATGAACAAACATAAGGTTTAATATGAAGACTGTAATTTTCCTTTCATGAAAATAATATAAAACCTTTGTGTCAGTCGTAGTTGCTAAGACAGAATACCAGAAGTCTGTCTTTGGTGTTGTAACACTTCATTTTCATTATTATCCATTAGAATACCAAATTCTAATATCAAATGTCTTTGGTTAAATATGCAAAAATTTGAGAAGTTATAAGAGAAAAAGCCACTTTATATTAATGATAATTTTAGAAAGTTTTAAAAGCTCAGTAATGCTTCAAACTATTTCCTAAAGTCATCTGTGTCACTTTGTATTTAGGGTAATGATCCATATCCTTGGCCAATGTTTTCATCATATCCTTTGCCAAACTGCTATATTTCAGAAGTTAGAAGAAATACTGACATAAAGCAAGGTAAAATATTTGCTATCATGTGTCATATTCTCTTTAATATCTGTTACAATTTTTTTGAAAGGTAAACTGTTACAAGAGTAGAATGTGGTACTTAATATTATGTGTCAACTTGTCTAGGTCATGATTATTGGTGGTTTGTCAAATACTATCACATTTTGTGGCTTCATATGAGCAGCCAGTTAGTTGAGAAGAGCGCTCAGTGGGTGTTTTGGCCTACATCCCATGTATATGGATGATTTAGCAAAGTTTACTTTCTCCATCCTGTATTTGATTCATCATCCTCTCACCTTATTGGGATGTAACAACACCCGACCTTACATTTTTGGGTTTATGATCTGGTGCCACCACAGAAGTCAGGAGAAGACTCCAGCCTGATGCATGACCAGTAGATTTGGTACTTGATTGTCTCCACAACTACATGAGCTACTACCTTGAAATAAATCTGTATATGCTTATATATACTCACTGACGTTGCTTCTCAACTGAACCCATCCTAAGACATTTGTTACTGAGTATGGTTTTAGAGGATCAGAATCATAAAGATGAGTGTTCTGAATTGGTGTACAAGTCTGACTATTTTTTAAATTTTCTACTAATTTACTTACAAAATTCAAATATATTGTTTTCAAGTACAAGTTCTTTCAATTTCCCTCACCCCCCCCCCCCATCAAATTGTACAGCCTGATGATTCATTCCCTCCTCTCCCTGCATATCCTCAGCCCTCTGCTTCCACCCACTCCCACCCATCTTGGATCCTTATACTCATTCTACAAAAATGGGTTTATATCATATTTATCCTTGTGGGACTGAATTAGTTCACTCAGCGTAATGCTCTCCAGTCCCAGTGATAACCTCTTCAACAAATAGTGCTGGCAGAACTGGACTCCTACTTGCAGAAAGCTGAAGCAGGATCCATGTCTCAAACCTTACACAAAAATCAACTCAAGGTAGACCAGAGACCTGGGAATAAAGCCCAAAATTATAACATTCATAAGAGACAAACTGGGATCAAACTTAGAAGCACTAGTCCTAGGTATAAAGAGACTGCCAAATACAACCAGAAATGTACAATCTAAAGTGGATAAAATTGATGCATGGAACTTTCTAAGATAAATCCATGTGTGCATCAAAATCTTTTTTCCAACAGAGTGAAAAGAAAACCTACAGACTAGGAACAAGCATTTGGTAATGTCATCTCAGACAAGAGTCTTATAATGAAAGTTTGTAGAATACTTCTGGGCCTCCACAAGAAAAAGACTGATAACCTAATTACATAATAGGCAAAAGACATGGAAAGAATTTTCACAGAGGAAGGTATTCAAATGACAAACATACATATGAAGAATTGTCCCAAATCACTGGCAATAAGAGAGATGCAAATCAAAACCTCAATGAGGTACCATCTCACTCCAGTAAGAATGGAAAAGTTTAACAGGATGGCAAGTAATAAATATTGGAGAAGATGTGGTGAGATAGGAACTCTTATACATTGTTGGTGGGATTGTGAAATGGGACAACCATCTGGAAAGCAGTTTGGCGTTTCCACAAAAGACGACTGAATATTGAGATTCCATATGACCCAGCTATTCCACTGCTTGGAATATACCCTGAGAATATGAGAACTGAGGCACAAACTGAGATTTGTACACCAATGTTCATAGCAGCAACATTCACCATTGTAAGAATATGGAAACAAGCCAAATATCCAACCACAAATGAATGGATTGAGAAATTATGGTACATTCACACAATGGGATACTACACAGCATGCCAGAGCAATGATCTTGTAAATAATTCTGGCTATTCTTAAAGGCACTGATGACCCTGTATTTAAGTAGTCGTAAAGGTATCTTTACTAATGCATGCCATGAATGAACAATAATAAAACACAACATATTACCACCATTGGATAAAAATTTGTGAGATACAAAGACCTGAGTAAATCATTTGATACTTTTCTACACACTTTGTTCAACGTAAGAAGAAATCAAGAGATAAATTGCGTTGGGAAAGTCAGCTGTCAGGGACCTCTCCAGAGTACTGAAGAGCAACGACATCAGGCTGGAGACTAAGGTGCACCTGATCCCGGATATAGTCTTCACAGTTGTGTGCTATGCATTGGAGAGTTGGACAGTGACTAGGGATAATAGAAAGATAATTGATTCCATTGAGCTGTGGTGCTGAAGAAGAGTGTTGAATATACCATGGACTGCTAGGAGAACAAACAGGTTTTTCCTGGAGAGGGTGAAGCTGGCCTGTTCCTTGGAGTCAAGGATTCTGTAGCTTTGTCTGACATACTTTGGATAGATTGCAAGGAGGGACCGGTCCTTGGAGAGGGATGTCATGTTTGGGAGAGTGGAGATACAGTGCAGGAGAGGAAGACCCTCGATGAGAAGGATCGATTCTGTGATTGGGGTGGTGGGAGTAAGTGTGTCAGAGACGTTGAGGTTGGCACAGGATAGAGCAGGATTTAGGGCTGTTGTACATAGGGTTGCTTTGAGTTGCAAGCAACTTGATGGCACATAACAACAAACAACACCAACATATAGATTGAACAGGTATGCAAATAGAATGAATTTCTGACATACTCCCTTCATAATTCCAGACCATGCAGTGCTCCTCTGCTCTGTTCATACAGTAGACTCCTGCTTTAAGTATAGGTTCCTCATAAGTATGGTCAGGTTCTCTAGGATTTCCATTCTTCTCACTGTTAGCCACAACTTGTCATGATCCACATGGTCAAATGCCTTTGCATAGTCAATTAAGCACAAATAGACAGTCTTCTGGTATTCCTTACATAAAGCCAGGATCTATTGACATCAGCAGTTATATCCATGATGACACAGCCTCCTCTAGATTCAGCTTGAATTTCTGGCAATTCCTTATCTATGTACTGTTCCAGGAGTTTTTGAATGGTCTTCAGCAGTATTTTGCTTGCATGTGAGATCAATATTTCTAGATAATTTCCACATTCAGCCGGATCACCTTTGTGAATAGGAACAAATATGGACCTCTTCCAATTCGTTGGCCAGACAGCTGTCCTCCAAATTTCCTGGCATAGTCTTGTGAGTGAAAATTCTGAACACATGGTTTCAAATGGCAGCTCAGGAGGATAAAGCAAAGTATGATAATGGAATGTGCAGAGATCTGGAATTGGAGAATAAAAAGGGAAGAACTTTCTTTGCATTTCTAAAGCTGAAATATCTGAAAAACAAATTTAAGCCTCGTGTCGCAATGTTGAAAGATGCTGTGGGCAATATATTTAATGACCTAGAAAGCATAAAAAGTAGATGGAGGGGAAACACAGAGTCACTGTACCAGAATTGATTGACATTGAAAATTTTCAGGAAGTACCATATGGACAGGAGCCAATGATAATGAAAGAGAAGTGGAAACTTCATTGAATGCATTGGCAAAGAGTAGGGCCCCAGGAATTGATGGTACACCAACTGACTTGTTTCAATTAACAGATGCAGTCTTGGATGCACTCACCAGTCTATGGCAGTGCTCAAACAAGTAATACCTTAATATACAAAAAGCTCTTTTACCATGCATGAGTTCATGCTCTTTCAAACTCTACTTTTTTTTTCAAACTCTTCTTTTAAAATTCAGAAGTAGTAAGTCAGTGATTCTGATATGTACTATATTAGTCATCATTTATACTGAAAACTTTTGCAGTATTTTGTTATTGTGAAAAAAAATACCACTTTAGTTGTATGGAAACAGTAATGTGCCTCCTCATATGTCTCTTAACTTCTAAATTTGCTCTCCTTATTAGCCTTAGTATTCTTCATCTGTTACACTGTGAAGTGTTACCTCGCTGGTGTCAGTGCTAGCTATTTGTTGATTCGTTTTTAATCTATAAGAATCTTAAGACAATATCTTTTTGTGTACATTTTCATGGTCACCGTATTAAAATGTAAGCATCCCTTTAAAATCTATTTATCAGTTTTACACAGCATGCGCAGATACACATACACATATGTCTGTTATCTCTCTGTATGTTACACACATACAAACACACACACAATCAAGTATAATTGCTTCCCATAATGTCATGTCTTTATTAACTGATTGGAGCTTTAGTGACATCATGGGTTAAGCATTAACCTGCTCATCAAAAAGTTGGCAGTTTGACCCTACCACCTGCATTTCAGGAGAAAGCTAAGGCATTCTGCTTTGATAAAGATTTAAAACTCTAGAACCCAATTGTACAGTTCTGTTGTGGCTCGACATTCCTTGGAAATGTCTGTGTGTCTTCGTCTTCACCTCTGTCGATAAATTTCCCTAAGCAGTATTGTACTCCTGGTGAATCTTTTTTGGTAGTACTGAATTTCCACTTGCCCTTTCTCTCCTCTTTCCATCAGAAATTGAGATTGTGATGGGATTATGAATGTCACATCCCATTTGTGATCCTTTTACAATTGGTTAAAGATAACCTATTCTAAAAGGATCATGAGGGCTCATTATATAACTTTCATGACAACATTCTGTCATTAAACTCTCGTCTAACACTGTGTCAGTGAACATTAGGATTTCTTTCCTTGCTAATCAGCCCTGTATTTAGAAATTTTTACATATTGTTTGAAATAATCTCTGCTGTGACTCATTTTCTGTAGTATGAATGGCTTTGCACTTGTAAAGATCCTTGAGTTAGATTCTGTATATATCATTCATAAAGTAGATACCTTTATTACAGTCATTTTATCATTTACAAAGTGATACTTTACACTTTTTATAGCATATAAAAGGTGTGCATTGTTAGCTTTACATCCCATTTTTCAGAATTGAAAAAAGTAACCAAAAAATGCATAGCCTTTTATTCTATGATTACTTCAAATTTACTCTTTTATAGCTTCAATATCTTACTTTACTGCTTCCCCATCACATTTCAGCTTATCACATAGGAAATTGATTTTCTGCCTGGCAAAACATTATTTTTGAAATACCATATAAAGTAGTAAATTCTATGGTGATAACTGTTCTCTTTAATGGAATGT